TGTTGGTCCATTGTGTTTTTTGAAAACCAACGTCACTGCACCCGTTTACCAAGAAATTTTGGAGCACTTCATGCTTCCTTCTGCTGACCAGCTTTTTGAAGATGCTGATTTCATTTTCCAGCAGGATTTGGCACCTGCCCACACTGCCAAAAGAACCAAAAGTTGGTTAAATGGCCATGGTGTTGGTGTGCTTGACTGGCCAGCAAACTCACCAGACCTGAACCCCATAGAGAATCTGTGGTAATTCAAAGTATTCTAATTTGTTGAGATAGCGAATTGGTGGGTTTTTGTTAAATGTGAGCCAAAATCATCACAATTAAAAGAACCACAGACTTAAACTACTTCAGTCTGTGTGCATTGAATTTATTTAAAACACGAGTTTCACAATTTGAGTTGAATTACTGAAATAAATGAACTTTTTCACGACATTCTAATTTATTGAGATGCACCTCTATGTAACATTATCAGCCGATATTTGAGATGGCCTACTGATAACTGGTTCCTTGGCCAGAGGAGCAATTATAATAATGCACATTTTCCACATATGACTTGGATCTGAATTTAATAAAACAAAAATTCTCTACAGTGAGTGAAAGGAGATGCTTGACTTTCAGTAAATTACGTTGTTCCTTATCAGCAGTTATTGTAGTCTCTGGAAACTATTATATATAATAAATATATATATAATCCAAAGACTGAAATATATATATATATATAGTATTAGTAATTTTTGCATTTTACGATACCATTTTAATATTTCGTTTTTGTGTGTGTTTTTGTCTTTTTTTTTTATTTGTTATTGATTTATTATTTTAAATGTCTATATGGTTTTTATTCATTTTTATTTTAGTTTTAGTTATTTTAGTACATCGAGTTAGGCTAAATGTTGCTTTGAAAACTAGCTGAATATAAAATGTATATTTTTAGATATTTTTTCAAGTAAAAATATTTTTATGGTTTTAGTTTTAGTTAACTATAATACTCCTGCTCATCAGGACCTTGTGTGTTTTATTTTACATTTATTTAATATCTGGTTTGCAACTCTGTTAACAACATTTTTAATATGTCCAAATTACATTGCAAAATATGAAAATGTATAAAAATATATGAAAATATATTCATAGTTACAAATATTTTTGGTTACACTTTATTTTAAGGTGTCCTTGTTACAGTGCAATTATACATTTAAGTACTGAGTAATATAAATTAACTACATGTACTAACTGTATGATTAGGGTTAGGATTAGGGTTTGGTTAGGGTTACTTGCATGTAATTATGCATAATTTATTGTTGTTATAATAGCAAGTACATGTAACATGTGCAACATGGACACCTTAAAATAAAGTGTTACCATATTTTTCTATAATTAACTTGATAGACGTCATCAAAATATTTGTTACAAGTCCCCCTGTAGTCAAATATTTTATCCCTTAAAACTTATCTTTGATCATCAAAATGGCATATTTAAATGTTTTTTCTTGTGAAAATAATTTTGTCATGCCTTAAAATAGATTGAATGTAACAACACCCTTGCCTCATTTACTATACGCGGATCTATGAATATGCAAATTAGCCCCGCCTCCACTCAGTCACACCAGCCTCCTGATCCACTGAACTGTAGTAACCACGGAACAATGGCATACACGGATAATGACTGATAAAACTATGTTTTTACTAGCAGGCAACTACAGTGAATACTGTAACATTCGTTAAAGTTACTTAATTGACGATGTTGTGTCCTAAAATGCCTCGTAGACTCGAATACAGCCGTTTGTGATTCTTAATTTGCACCCGCGAGCAATGCATGTGAAGTGCAGAGGTGCGTCTGACTCCAGGCTTCTTTTACACTGTTGCCACGGGTTATAATGCAAGTTAGCGGTTCTAAATTCACATTAAACCACGGCTTCATGGGTTTTTTGCTTTAATTTATCTTTGGTTTTGTGCTGGTATCGGTATATTTTGCATGCTAGTGATACGAATCGATCCCTTGACGTGATTGGTTATTGAATTGTGACGTAGCAAACCGAGTGCTGTTTCAAACCGCGTTTCTGGGACAGCCTTTGGGAAACTACAGTTTTAAGGAGAAAATACTCAGCAATGGTGTTGATTAATGGATTGGCACATGGTTTGTCTAAAAGCATATTTAAAACACCACATAGACAAATAAACAACTTAAAAACTTGATTTTCACTACAGGGGGACTTTAAGATAATATGATTTGATTTTAATTATTACTGATTGTTATATCCAGTCAAAAATGTCAAGACCACTGAGGGTCTAGTATTGCTATTAATCATTTGCACCAAGTTTGGGGTTGGTAAGGTTTTTGTAAGCTCTCTCTTATTCTCACCAGTGTAAAATAACTATTTAAAATGTAATTCATTCTTGAATTTTCAGCATCATTAATCCAGTCTTCAGTGTCACATGATCCTTCAGAAATCATTCCAATATGCTGATTTGCTGCTTTGCATCATTCGACCGCTGTCTTCATTGTGTCTCATCATGATCTAATATCTTTTTTTAGTGTTGTGTGAGATGTACCACCGTGGAACCGGGCGAGGAACTGAATCTTCAGACTGACTCTCCAAACCCTCCGACTCCTGACAGCTCCTGTCCGCCAGACCCAACACCGACACCTGACCGCAGACCCTGCTGGACCGCCGGCCTTCTGGGACTCAGTGATTCTTCTGCTCTCAGCTGGGAATCGTGGGAAGAGATGGACGCCCGCAACCGCGTGTCTCATATTTCCTCCTGAAGTCACGAAACGAGGAGAGCCCTTTGCACTCGATCAGACCACGTCAGAGTGAGTTTGGACACTCGCAGAAGACGTCACATGACCATGCATTTCTCTCTGCTGTTCTCCGTTACAGTCCATGGACCCAAACAACTATGAATATCAGACTATAATTTGGTAGTCACCAGTGTGGCTCTTATTATTTTTAAACTGTTGCCCGAATGTTTTTTTTTTTTTTTTAAGATAACTTTTTGTTAATTAATAATGTGTCCTCTACTGAATCTTGCAGGCTCAGGAGGGTTCATGATCTCCTAGAAGTACCTGTAATGAGTTTCCTGATCACTTGCGTATAAATGCGTATAAATGTCCCACAATGCTGCAACATCCTTTGCAGTTACTAAAGAACATAAGCACTCACCGCCAAAATCTAAAAGCATCTACGAATGGAAATGAATGATATTTGGTCCAGAACACAAAGATCTTCATTCCTTATTGAGCTCATCCAATCCAAATGGATTAGTTTTTCCGTCAGTGTGTTTGTTTATTTTTCTGTTCTCAATTTCAAATGTTTCTTCCACTGTACATGTGACTGAACGATGTCAAGCAATGTCTTACTATGGTATAAAACTAAAGTAATGGTGTAATTTGAATATACAGACATTTTTCTCTTGTGTATGTTGGGTTGATTGCTGTACTTGTACCTGGGTCACATTTCGTCACACAAAAAAAAAATAAAAAGATATATAAAATTTACATGTAAAAAATGATTACAATTTTAGAACCATTTATTTTCATTATGTGAATTTAGGGAAAAAAATAATCTGATTAATTGTGAAAATGCAAAAATAGCAATGCATTCTTAACGGTTCTTAAAATTATTTTTATATATGAATTAATAATAATAATATTAATATTATATAAAATATATATTTTTATATTATTATTATTATATTTTCTGATATTTCTGTTGAATTGTGACCTAAACACTCTCAGAAAAAAGGTACAATAGCTGTCACTGGGGCAATACCCTTTAAAAGGTACAACTTTGTATCTTCTTTACCACTACAGAGTCCATATTAGTACTTCAAAGGTATATATATATATATTAGTATCTGTACCTTTATTTCTGAGAGTGTAAATATATAAAACTTCTCAAATCCATCATAAAGTACCCAAAAAAATACTCTGCCATTTACCATACGATTTTCACCAAACCTAATTTTCTCTTATCTTGTCTTTTTTTATTTATTGATCTGTTGTGTTCAGAAAAGTGTGTGTGTGTGTGAGTGTGAGTGAGTGAGTGAGTGTGGGTGTGTGTGTGTGTGTGTGTGTGTGTCTGTGTCAGAGACAATGTGTGTCGTTGTGAGCGTGTTTCCTGTAGTGTTCCAGTTATCAGAATAGATGTTGTTCCTTTCGAGTGAGTGAGTGTGTGTGTGTGTGTGTGTGTGTGTGTCTGTGTCAGAGACAATGTGTGTCGTTGTGAGCGTGTTTCCTGTAGTGTTCCAGTTGTCAGAATAGATGTTGTTCCTTTCTGCTTTTTAGGTTGTTGCAGTAACAGAGAACTGCCAGAGGCCCAATTACTGACCTGTCAGTCCCACCCGACAGAAAAAGTTTTGTGATCAAAGAGACATTTTTGTACAGTTTTTAGAAAGAAATGTAAATATCGCTCCAATGTATTTTACGAAAAAAGGTGCAAAATACCACAAACTGTATTAAAAAAGCCATTTTGTGTCAAATTCAGGGAAGTATTTTGTGACACCACATGATAGCTATGAATAAAACACCACAATGATTTAAACTGTTCTTCTTAAATATGATCCTCATATTTCTCAGTATTTTCTTTTGTATTTTGATAGTCAAAGTAATAAGCACGCAATAACTTGCAACTCTTTTAAATATATTTACTTTATTTACATCAAAGCTTAAAGCTTGTACAGGTATGTACAAATAAATTATCCTCTATTTTTCCTACAAACATAAACATATCTTTTGCAAATCAGGCCCACAGAGCTTGTGCACGAGTGTTCTCACGGGATGTTTCAGACACAGTATTTCCAGAAACACTCTGTGTTGCTGCCTCGTTTGCGGTACTGCTTCCTGCTGCCCAGGAAACGGCTCATCAACGGCTTTTCCAGCAACACCTGAACGACAAACACGAGTCAATATGTTTCAATAAACCTTCATCTCTGTCTGTTGATATAATGTTGCATGGGTTTCATTAAATCACTCACTTCTTTTGCAGCTTTACTCGGGACAAATCCAGCTGTTCTGAGACCTGAGAGGGAGACGAAGAACAAGACCAGCTGAGAGTGAGTTACATCCAGCTGTGCTGATGTCAGTCCCATCTGTTATTATAACCAGTGGTGGAAATGGCCAAAATTCACTGGGGGGACTCTAGATCAAAGGGGGGGGGGGGCTTTCAGATGTATTTAATTATAAAAACCCTTATATAATCTATAGTAACATTAAACTTACTTCATACTGCAATTCTGCACCTGCAATTCTGGCCAAATTAAAGATACGTTGTGTGTGAATTTGCACGTTATAATTAAACAGCATTAATGACCCCTGTTTTTATTTTTTTTAAAACTGATTTGATTAGTGAAATGAAAGAATGATTTAATAAAAAATGAGAATGATTATTGTTTCTAATTGGCCTTGTTAGCAAAGCCCTCAAAACACTTCTTATTTAGTGGTACAGTATTGCATGATTTGTAGATTATATTTAATAGTTTACACTTTGCCAGAACATTTGCAATTAGTTTTTAAAAGGTAACATGACATTCTTAAGTTCTCGCTAATGCTTACATTTCTTTTCAGGAGCACTTGTGCTCTTACTTTAAAAAAAAAAAATAATAATAATTAGGAACACCTGATCAATGACAGAAATTAATCTTCAATTTATTAATCTTATAATAAGGTGATATTTGACTCCTTCATTTTAAAAAAAAAAAAATCATTGTAATGCCATTTTTCTAACTTTATTAAATGTCATATTTTGTGCCAAAAAAAAATTAGATTTACAAATGTTTATCAAAATTTGTAATTAAACAAATTCAACTAAAATGATAAGATACAATCACAAAGAATAAGTTACCAGTCAAATTAAACATCAACAATTCATCTTTGCACGGCACAAAAGCGCACAAATGTGGAATATTTACAGACCTTTTGACAAGACTCATAGGCGTAGTTTGCGGGTGGGACGGGTGGGACATGTCCCCACCACTTTTTGCCAGGGTCGATATTGTCCCTACCACTTTTTAAAAGTAATTGAAAAATATATTGCGGAAGGTAGGCTATGAATTAAAGGCAAAATAAGATCAACAAATCATTCTTCATAACCTAATTAGGGTGATAAAAAATAAATGAATATATTTTATTGTAAAACCTGACAAGATCGTGAAATCGAAAGTGAAAGCATCGGAAGGCTTATAACATGGCAAAAGAGGAACTCCCATTCACAAAATTCAAATCACAAATAATACTACTGATGAAAAAGAACGGGTTGAATGTTAACTACTTTCGTTTCCATATAACTATAAACTACCATAAAATTTAATCAGCGTGCATTGATTAACAGCATGTTGTAGCGCAAAAAAAACAAAAAACAAAAACGTGCTTGTGCAGCCAACTTAGAAAGTTAATCACAAAAGAGCCAGCAATGGGAAGAATGAGTCTGGAGCCCTGAATTGCCCAGCTCCCTCTGTCAATGATCTACTTGCGTTCAAAATTCTCTGGCACCACCCCTGGTACATCGATGTATTTTTGAAAAGCAAAAATTAAGTTTGTTCAACTCTAAACCCAGTCCCCAAGTAAATTAGGTTATTAAATAAACTAGCAAAACGAGTTGCGCGGTGTCCCCACCAGTTTTCAAAGCAAAGTTAAGCCACTGGGTGGCATTAATGTATAATGTCATAATCTCATAATGTCAGTGTTATCAGATTAATGTTTTAAATATAAAAGTTTTGAATATAGAAATGTTAAAGATTTAAATGGCTCAATTTATACTTTAAAAATGAAACTGAAACCGCCAGTAGGTGGCAGCATGTCAAAGTCTTGGTTAGTGATTCATTTATTTAATCGATTTGTTCAAACGGCTGATTCATTTAGGAAGGAAGCAAGTGACTCTCTTTATGAGTGTGTCATTGAATCATTGACTCACTGGATTTGTTCAAAAATGCAGATTCATTCATAAACGAAACACCGCTGTGTTTGAATGGAGATGCGCAGCGGTTCAGCTGTGGATTTGTTTGGAACTATTTTTTTGACAATAGAGCACAATCAGACAACAGTGTTTCTAAAATGTAAGTCACTTTAATAGTAACTTTTTTATCAAATCAAAAATATATAAAACTGTTCCATAAAATCAATATCACATTTGCTAACTCTGTCACCCGTCTTCATCGCGATCTCACAAACTTGCATTTTAATTAATGAAGCTCTCAACACTGCACACTGAATTTATTATTTACATCTCTACACTTTGTTATAATGAATGACAAACAGCAGTCTGCTTTCACAATCTGTTCTGTGAAGAGCAGGACACGCACCGATAGAGAAGCATTTCTATTGGCTGCAGTCTGCAGGTATTAAAGCAAAAGACGACATTGCGCAGCTAACCATATTCCGCTACGTTTTTAGTCTACATTACCCTACGTTTTATATACAGAACTGGGGTCGCTTTCGTAGACTTTTGATTGGATAAAGTATAGAAATCACTTTAATTTCCAATAGAACCTAACCAGTTGGAAGTGAAACGCCGTCCCCCCTCGAAATTCACTCCCCGGACTTGAACTAATTCAATATATATAAAAAAAAAATTATAATAGTATCTAAATAAGATTGGACCAGCTCACCGTCACTGCTGATGTCCCCAGTGATGAGGGACGGGTAACCGAATCCCACGCCGCCCTGGGACAGATACGCTTGCTCTGAGTAACTCAGGTCTTCTGGACTGACCACCTGCTCCTCTTCTACAAGAACTACAGGTGAACATGACATACAATACCACTGAAGAACATTTATGAGTTGTTCCCTTAAGAAGTTTTTTGTACCTGATGTGATACTTTAGATTTATAAGGATGGTGTATTCAGTGGTATATTTGAATGCAAACAGGCTGATTCAATCTTATTAAACCATTTATTTAATATATTTAAAATATACTTTTTTTCTTAAATATATACAGTAGTCAACATTTGAAGTGGATCA